TGTTTTATAGTTTTAGCTCCTATGTTTAGGTTGATCTCTTTAGAGCTGATTTTTGTATGTTGTGTGAGGTAGGGGGTCCAACTTCATTCCTTTGCATGGGACTATCCATTTGTCACAGCACCATTTGCTAAAGAGACTATCCTTTCCTTCACTGAATAGTCTTAACACCCTTTTAGAAAATCAATTGGCCATAGACTTATGGATTTATTTCTGGATTCTCAAGTCTATTACATTGGCATATATTTCTGTCCTTATGCCAGTAGCACTGTTTTGATTACTGTAGTTTTGCGATAAGTTTTATTTTTATTTTGTAAAAATATTTTAAAAATATTTTATTTATTTATATTATTTATTTTATTTATTTATTTATTCATGAGACAGAGAGACAGAGAGAGGAAGAGAGAGAGAAAGAGGCAGAGACACAGGCAGAGGTAGAAGCAGGCTCCATGCAGGGAGCCTGACGTGGAACTTGATCCCAGGTCTCCAGGATCAGGCCCTGGGCTGAAGGCAGCGCTAAACCGCTGAGCCACCCGGGCTGCCCTGCTATAAGTTTTAAAATTGGAAAGTATGACTCCTCGAATTTTGTTCTTTTTCAACATTGTTTTGAGGTGATCATATGATTTTTTTTTTATTTTGCTTGTTGATATGATGGATAATGTGTGTTGACTTTTGAATGCCAAATCAGCCATGCATCCTTAGAATAAACCTGACTTGATCATAATGTATAATTCTTCTCATAAACTGCTAAAACTTTGTTACAGATTTTTGTTTATGTGCATGAGAAATATTAGTCTGTAGTCTTCTTTGTACATTTTTTCATTTTTACTGTCAGGGTAACACAGTGAGTAGGGAAGTATCCCTTCCTCTTCTATTTTCTGAAGAGATTATGTGGGATTGGTGCTAATTCTTCTCTAAACAATTGGTATAATTCTAGTGAAACTGTCTGAGCCTGGAATTCTCATTTTCTGGAGTTTTTTAAAATTATACATTTAATTTCTTTAATAATTATATTGGGTAAATTTTGGTAGTTTGTGCTTTTAGAATAATTGGCCCATTTCACCTAATTTTCAAATTAAAATGGATACTTGTAGTATTTCCTTATTATTCTTTACATGTCTACAGAATCATTAGTTATTTATTCCAATGTTGGTAATTTGTGTCTTCCCTTTTTCCTCTTTGTCAGTCTTTCTAGGTGCTTATTAATTTTATTATTTTGCCTAAGAACCACCTTTCCTCCATTGGGTTTCACTATTTTTTTTCTGTTTTCGATATAATTCCAGCATCAAAATCTATTCTTTATATTTCCTTCCTTCTTTTTGTTTTGGGTTTATTTTACTCTTCTTTTACATGGTTCCTTAATTAGAAACTTACTGTTTTTAGACTTCTCCCACATTTCTATTGTAAGCATTTAGTACTATAAATTTCCCTCTCAGCTTTACCTGTGTCCTATAAATTTTGATATATTGTATTTTCGTTTTCATTCAGTTTGATGTATTTTTTTTAAGTAGGCTCCATGCTGGGCATGGAGCTCAACGTGGGTATTGAACAAATGACTCTGACATCAAGACCTGAGCTGAGGTTGAGTCAGATGCCTAACCAACTGAGCTACCCAGGTTCCCCCAGTTCAATGTATTTTAAAATTTCTATTGAGACCTCCTTTTTGACTCAGAAAGTTTTTTTAAGTGTGTTGTTTAGTTTCCAAGTGTTTAGAGATTTTCTGTTGTTGTTTCCTAATTTGATCTCACTATGGTCAGAGAAAACACCACATACTATCTCAATTCTTTAACTGTAGATTGTTTTATTGTCTAGAATATATCTATCTTGGTATATATCCTTGAGTGCTTGAAAAAATGCATATTTTACTGTTTTTTTTTTTGGTGAAGTGTTCCATAAAAGTCAATTAGACCCTGTTTAGATGATGATGTTGAGTTCTTTGTATTGATTTTCTGTCTAGTTCTATCCATGGTTGGGAGAGGAAGTTGAAGTCTCCACTCTAAATGTGAGTTTTTCTATTTCTCCTTTCAGTTCTTTTGATTTTTGCTTCATATGTCATGCAACTTTGTTGTTTGATGTGTGCACAATTAGGATTATTGTGTCTTCTTGGTGGATTGACTCTTTTATCATTATGTGATGCCCTTCTCTGTCTCTAGTGATTTTCTTTGTTCTGAAGTTTACTCTGTCTACTAATACCAGAGCTACCTCATTACTATTTTTTATTAACATTGGCATGATATATATATTTTTTCATCTTTTTTACTTTCAAACTATTCATATCATTATATTTGAGATGAGCATCTCATAGACAGCATATAGTTGGATCATGTTTTTTATTCACTATGCTAATGTCTGTCTTTTAATTGGTAGATTTAAATCATTTTCATATTTTTAAGATTTTATTTATTGATTTGAGAGAGAGAGAGTGCATAAGTGGGAGAAAGGGAAGAGAGATAGGGACAAGCAGACTTGCTGCTGAGCAGGGATTCCAATGCAGGGCTCAAACCCAGGACCCCAAGATCATGACCTTTGCTAAAGTCAGTTGCTTAATCAACTGAGCCACCCAGGTGCCCTAGATCATGTTCATTTTAGTAAACCTACTGGTAGTTAGTGCTTAATGCTACCCATTTATTTTTATTTTGTTTGTTCTAATTTTATTTATTTATTCATGAGGGACACAGGAAGAGAGGCAGAGACCCAGGCAGAGGGAAAAGCAGGCTCCTAATGGGGAGCCTATTGTGGGACTCAATCCTGGGCCCCCAGGATCATGCCCTGAGCCGAAGGCAGATGCCCAACCACTGAGCCACCCAGGAGTCCCTACTTGAACATTTTTTGAAATTCTGTTTGCTGATTCGTGTATAGTGTCCTTGCAAGCATCTTTTTGTATGCAATTTTTAGTGGTTATTCTAGGTATTGTGTCTTATATAAATAACTTGTAATAGTCTACTAATGTCAATATTTTACCAGTTTGAGTGAAGTATGGAAATTAACTCTCTTTCCACCTCTTTAGCCTCCCCTATTTATAATGTAATTGTGTTAAGTGTTTCTTCCACATAACATTTAGAACTGCAGCATGCAATGTTATAATTGGTGCTTCAGCCATCAGACATTATTTAGAAAGCTTGAGAGAAAGAAAGTCTATTTGATTTACCCATATTTTTTCTCTCCATTGTTCATTCTTCCTTGGTGGTGTCCAAAATTCCCTCTTTGATCACTTCCTTTCTGGTTAGAGAATGTCCTTTATCCATCCTCTTACGAGGGGTCTGTTACTAACAAATCCGCTTAGTTTTCCTTTATCTCAGAATCTCTTGATTCCCCTTCCATACCTGAAGCATATTTTCACTAGGTATAAGATTCTGGATTGACAGTTCCCGTATTTCAGCACTTATTTAGATCTTCGGTTTTAACTGACTTCCTCTGGCAATGCTTTGACAGGGAATGGAGCACCATCTCATTTCTGCCAGGTTCTCCACTTAGCCTTTAATGACACCAAGGAGGTTGGGGTGCTTCATTACTGCCGAGCAGTTCTAGCTCCCTACTAGGCTTTCATTGATACCATTCCTGGCTGGGATCGGTAAGAGTGCATCATTACTGTTCCCCATGTGATCTCCACTGACATGGACAATGATGGTATCTGGACTCATTACCACTGTTCAGAGGCAAAGGTCCTGAACCTCTATTAGGTCTCCTCTGATACCACCCTGGGTGGGAGGGGGCAGGGAGAAAGAAATCATTACTGCCAGGTGGGGGTGGAGTCTAGGCCCCCAATTGGCCTCTGATGTTGGGACTTGTTGGGACCACACTTTTTTCTGTGGTGTTTAGCTGGGTTAGAGCAGTTCTTATATAAAAGTTTTCTGCCTCGGTTGACTGCCCCTTTCCTGGTCCTTTGGCTAAAGAGAGTAGGGTTTTATTGGAGACTTTTTGTCAGTGTCCATTGGCATTTTGGGGTTGCCAGCTTCTTCAGGTCCATGTCTAAGGTCTATGAGGCATAAACCCAAAGAACTCATTACAACATTGTTCCTCAGGTCCCAAAATCCCTTGTTCTCTCCACTTTTTTGGGGTCATCTTATGTTGGTTTTAAATGTAATGCCCAGAGGTTTTAGTTGTACTCAGTGGGAAAATGGGAAGAGTACATTTCCATTTTCCCAGAGGCGGAAGTCTGGACATTGACATTTTAGTGCCCAATTTTGTGCAGCCAAGGGGATTTCCAAGAAGGAGAGCTTCCCTCCTATGTGAATGCCTTAGCAGAGCTCTCATTTCATGTCTACACCATGAAAGACAAAAAGAAATGAAAAAAAAAAACTTTACTTGGTTTAGCACAGGTCTGCTCATTTGTCACAGAGGGCTTACACTGGGGTAGACATGGTCACCATCTACTTGGTTAGCTTTTTGTAAACTAGTACACCAGGGTTCCATGAGCCCCTTCCAACACCATTGCTTCCCCCCACTGACTGTCAGGCTATAAACTGTTAGTGAGCTCACTTGGCTGGGTGTTTATGGGGCCAAGAGTTGGGAGCTGCTTCTTCAGTGGGCCTTAAGGCTTACCTCTAGCAGAGTGGAGGGGTCCTTAAGCCATCACCTGATCCAACCACCATGGTTTTCACATAGGAAATTTGTGTCAGAGAACAGAAGAGTCTTTCCCCCGATCTCACTGCATACCACAAAAAAGCCAGACCTAAGTTCCACATTCCCTGCCTTTAAGCCTAGTGTTATTTTAGTTACATCAGGTTTCTTCTCCACCCCTCCTTCAGCTCTCCAGCAGTAAATTCTACTCTGCCCTATGGCCAGGGACTGCCATCTCATCCCAGCCAACTGCTTCACAGAAGTGCTCCTCATCCCTGGGGGTGGGAAGGGGCTCAATGAGGGTGGTGGGGTGGGGAGAGAGACATAAAAGGGAATGTGGCTGACTCCATCCAAACCTGTGCTCAGAGTGAAAGTCTGTGATTCACGGGGTCAATGGTCTCATCTTCATATCTGAAAGACAGTGTACTTTTTGTCTCCCTAAGCCCTGTGTCTAGGTCGTTTGGGAAGCGCCTTGGAGAGTCAAGAATAAAATTGCAGGTCAAACAATGGATGACTGGAAAAGTCGGCTTGTAATCAAGAGCATGGTTCCCCATTACGCCGTGGTGGGAAATCGTCAGGAGCCCAGAAAGCTCCAGGAATCGGTCAGACAATGGGCTATTGGGGGGAGGGGGGTGTTGAATGCTTCTAATCTTAAACTTGAACATAAGATGTGTTGTTGAAATTCTCTGTGCAAACTTGTTGGCAGGGAACCAACCCAAAATGTAAGGAACTAGAAGCTGACCTAGAAAAGATGTAGGAGATGAGCTAACCTTACCCCTTACGAATTTCTGGAAGAGCAGGAAATATAGTCCAAGGATCTATCTGGAATCCCAGCCTAGTGATCTCTGCACTGCCCCCCTTCAACTAGAAAGAAAGAAGAGTGTGAGGGAAGAAAAGCCTTTTTTTTTCTTTTACCAGAAACCAGGACTGTAGGACTGACGGGCACTAGACATATTGCATTAGCTTCCTAGTGCCACTGAGAAGAGGAAACCAGCGAGTAGGGCACAGAAAGAGATTCCCATTCAACTCTCTGGCTCTGGTGTCCTTTTAAAACCCCGCTCAACAAATTTCTCCTTTTCTCCCTTGGAGCCCAGACATCATCTATGTGTCTGAAACTAAGGGTTAGGGCTTCCAGTAGTAGTTCTAGGAGCCAGGACGACAGAAGGGACCATGAGAGCCACTGGTTAGTTGAATTTGACATAAAAAGCCTGCAATATCACCAGTCTACCGAGATTAGCTCTGTTAGTAGGAGTTGCAGCAAACACAATGGCTGTTATCTCAGTGTATTGGGTCCACAGAGGAGTGGCTTACTTAATCTCTGAAATTAATACAGCAGAGAGGAAATGGCTCTTATAGAGCCGTGGGTCTGCTTCCTTCCTGTTCAGAGAACTGGGAGCTCGGGGCTCTGAGGTAATGTCATTTCACATAACTAGAGGGCCTTGGCCTCTCCGATTGATTCCAAGGGCGAGCCACTTTCAGTAAGTCAACTTTCTATTTAGTTTAGGATTCTGAGATGTGCACAGGTGTGTGTGGGGGGGTGGGGGTTGGGGGTGGGGGGATTGTTGAAATCTGGCTTCTCTGTTTCTCCTCGCTGTCTCCCACCAACAGTGTATTGAGAATGTGGCATCCAGTTGAGTACGTAGATGTTTGCAGACTTTGACTGCCAGCGTTCCTGCTCACAGAGATGGCAGACGGGATGGCAGACATGGAGCAGTCAGTTGGCCAGCCGCCTGTCCTCCAGATCGCCAGCCCTTCAGGCAGGCATCTCGTAGAAGGCAATCTCTAATGTCCAGCCTCATCACCCTTTAGATTTCTTGCTTCTCTTTTATGGTCAACAACTGAGTCAGTGAAGGAAAACCTCTTGGTGAGGCATCCAGAGTCCAGATTCAGTTGGGCATGACTTTCAATTTCTCTCCGTTTCACACTTGTTTGTGTTCCTGGGAGGGAGGGAGAGGGGGGTTGTAGTTGCAAGTGTCTTCCTCCCCTTCTCCTCAGGAGCCCTACCAACATCCTTTAAAAGAGTGTGACTAGCGAGTAACTGCTTTGGTTTTAATCAGTGTAGACCTCGATGCCAAAAGGCTTTTTCTTAGGATAGACCTTTGGAGCAGCCACCTGTGCCCTCACTTGGGAGAAGTTGCCATTGCTCACGCCATTTCTGGGCTTGGCATCTCTTTGCAGATGGCCGTTTAGAGCCCTTTGTAAGTCTTGCCAAAAATTCACATTGATTGCTTTAGAGTCACACCTTGGGCTTGATCAAAATCAGTCCTCCTTCCTCTGTGGCACATCTTGTTCTTTGCCCTTAGCTCTGAGTGACGTGACTGTTTCCAAAATTCCACGCTGTCCCAGAAGATGAAGGGTTTGCCCCAGTTGAGGGGATCTGAAAAAATATGTCCCAGGCTCCAGAAACGACTCTCCCAGATGAGTCCTCTTCGCAGTAAAGAACGCATGTATCCTCTGGGAAGATGCATGTGGTCTCTGAAGGGGATGATGCGGAAGGAGCCCACTCCTCCGGTGGGGCCTGCTGGGTGTGCATAGAGTCTGGCCAAGCTGGGTGCCACTGCTGCCAGCAGCCAACAGTCAGCACAGTTCTTCTTCTTCTTCTTCTTCTTCTTCTTCTTCTTCTTCTTCTTCTTCTTCTTCTTCTTCTTCTTCTCTTTTAGATTATTTATTCATTCATTCATTCATTCATTCACGAGAGACAGAGAGAGAGGCAGAGACACAGGCAGAGTGAGAAGCAGCTCCTCACAGGGAGCCCTATGTGGAACTTGATCCCAGGACCCCAGTATCATGCCCTGAGCCAAAGGCAGATGCTCAACCATTGAGCCACCCAGGTGTCCTTCCAGGGCACTTCTTGAGCACAGCTGGATTTTCATGGTCATGAAATCTCTGCAGCCTCAGGACAATACCCGCTGCTAACATGGAGCTCTGCTGCATACACTGAGGATCTCAGCAACCCGGGTGTTTGTGGTCTGAGGGACAGAGATGGACAGATTAAATGCAGAAGGGCCTGTTGGTTCACCATGAAACCTGCCGTGCAGACAAGTTATTGCAGGGCCCAGAAAGTGAGTGGCAGGGGGTGGTCCTTTGCAGGAGCTGGGCTTGCCGGTCCCAAGTGTGGCCTGAACTGCACCTCCCGTGTCCGCTGTTTGCTCTGTCCCTGCTGCTCCCTAGCATTCAGGGATGGCACCCCAGCCCCAGCCCCAGGAGGCTGTGGGCACCACCTCTCCCTCATCCTGCAAGCGTCTTTAACGTGGGGATCTGATTGAGACGCTCAGCTTACCTGCTTCTCTCATCCTTGGCCAAAAAACAAACAGCAACGACAACAAAAACATGTTTCAAGGAAAGGTCTGTTTAAAAAAATGCTATCAGTCTCAAAGGAGAAGTGTTTTAAATAGGCCTGGGCTTTCCATGTGAATAACCGAGAGCCACCTTGTAGGAAGATGTACGTCCCAAGACCATCCTAAGGGCTCGGGACACCTGGATTCTAGTCTTGCTTCTGCTACTAAACAGCTCTGGGACTTTGTCCATCCTTTGCGCTCCCCGAGGACAAAAGTCAAACGAGCCAGGAGTAAGAATAGCTCCCCCTTTAACTGAGCACTGACTGGGTCCCAGGCACTTGGGGAGCCTTATCTCCCGTAATCCATAGGATAATCCTGAGACGAAGGCGATCCCCAGGAAACTGAGGCTCAAAGAGGCTAGGCAGCTTGGCCAAAGTCATAGAGCACGTTGAAAATCCCCAAACACTGAGCACACATCATGCAGGAGTAGCCACTGTGAGGGTTCTCAGTGGCACAAGGACCATTTCAGAATTTATTCATTCATTCAGCAGCATGATTGCTTACTGAGTCTTGTGATCTGCAGAAAAGTAGAGTTTTACCTTTTGGGCCTTTGGGCACCCACCCAAGGTTGATAAGGCATCTATCTCTGCCGTCAGTGTACGGAGTTTTAATAGGAGGCAGAACGTTTTGTCCTTCCCTTTGAAGTTAAGCTCTCCGTTCCTCCCCCAGATCCCAGATCGGTGGGTTGATTGATTCCTAGTGTGAGAATCTCTCAAACATTATTAGCACGGCAGGAGGGAGTGCTCTGGAGCCTGCATGGAACTGGAACTCGGTGTACATGTCACCTGTCACCTCTGTCTCAGTCTACACCCACCACAAGTGCAGAGGTACCCTGGCTCTGAGCAGCCACCTAGTCCATTCTTAGAGCAGCTCCAGACCAAGTGGGGGTGTTAAGGGCACACAGTTGGAGAAGGAAGGAGACGCTTCTGGTTACTCATCTGTGTTTTGTCATTTAATACCACTAAGTGGCTTCCTGTAGGTGACAGTGAATTGGCATGCCCAGGATTCCTTCTGAATTTTCCAACCATTCTCCCTTTATGGACAAAGATGCTAAAGCCTGAGAAAACCAGTGACTTGCAGGAAGGTGCCCCCCAAGAAGGTGGGGAGATACACCAAGAACCCTCATTTGGGTGGCCCCAAGGGCAGCCTGCTTTCCACCCACAAGCTGGCCTAAACCAACTACTACTACTACTACTACTACTACTATTCTTCTTCTTCTTCTTCTTCTTCTTCTTCTTCTTCTTCTTCTTCTTCTTCTCTCTCCTCCTCACCTCTAAATGAAAGTGGGGTTGAGCAAGGGGGAGAGAGGAGAATATTGAGATTGGGATGGCTGCAAAAATACTGGCCCTCTTTTGTCACCCCCTCCTCTTTAGACGGATGACCCTAGAAACACCCAGTGGGAGGGAGGCTGGTTCACCTCCCGCTGTGGAGTGTGATCAGGTTCAGGATTTGTATGCATCATCCCTGGAGGCACCTGCACTAGACTCAGTAAGGAGACCTGAAATTAGTGCTGTGTGAGGCCCTGAGAATTTCCCTTTACTCCTGAGCTCGGAGGGCCTGTCTGTCTCTGGCCCTCCCACCACATTCCCAGGGTCTGCAGGCCTGGGAACAAATCGATCCTACTCTGTAGTTTTACTTATCCTACCCCAAAACCGGGAGGAGAGAATTGAGTGACTCTTTTGTGCGGGCTACTTTGTATACATTAGCTCATCTGCTCCCGTGACCTGGGGATAGGGATTTGTATTTCATCCCATCTCACCGACCTGGAGACTGGGGCTCATGGAGGACCGTACTTGCCCAGTGTTAGAGTCAGTAGGTTGGAAATTCAGATCTCAAATCCAGGTGCCCTGACCCCGATGTTCCTCCCCCTTTCCTGCTTCCCATTCCTTGGTTAGGGACCCAGAGCGTTAGGGCCTTTTGCAGGCTGGGCATGACTCTCGGGAGGCTCAGGCTCAGGCAGCGGACCAGAGTCCCAGGTGGCCTGGAGATTTCATCCCAGAGGCAGAAACAGCCCGTAAACAGAGGTAGAGTGGAAGCATCCTTATATCACCCTGGTGGCTCCCTGGAACCTTCTGACCAGCACAGTCTACAGCCCGGCATGTGTGCCAGCTGGCTAAAAATCTTACAGGGAGGTAGGGAGAGCCAGCCTGGACCTGGGCTGAGTTGGAAGCCTAGAGAGGAAGCCCAGTGTCCCCCACTTCATGCAGGGCTGGCCCCAGGAGAGGAGAGCTATGTGTATGGCCCCACTTCCAGGAACCAGGTGG